TGGTTTTTGTTTTCATTTGTTTGTGGGTTTGCGTGTTTTTGTTTCCCACTTGTCTGTTTTCCTTTCCAGGGCTACTTCAAGGAACAAATCAAAGCACACCTGGTGGAGGGCCCAAAACATCGCTAAGAGTAGGGAAATAAAATCACCAAAGTCACAACAACAGAGAGCAAGTAACATCTCCAAAAAACACCTCCTGAACAGCCAGGCCCTCGACAGTGTGTGAGTCCCCTTTAATATAGCAGTACTCACAAGTTCAGAGCACAAAACAAGCTTTTAAAACTCATAAGGGACAGAAAACTAGCCAAGATGACAAAATGGGTGAATTCTTCTCAAAAAAAAAAAAAACTCCAGGATGAAGGGACAGCTAAAGAATTGATCATAACAGATATAAGCAACATAACTGAACAAGAATTTCAAATAATAGTCATAAAATTAATCGCTGGGCTTGAAAAAAGCATAGAAGACAGCAGAGACTCTACTGTACAAAGATCAAGGACCTTAAAAATAGGATAAATTTAAAAATGCTATAAATAAGGTGCAAAATAAAATGGAGACGGTCACAGCATGGACTGAAGAGGTAGAAGGGAATAGGTGAATTAGAAGATAAAATTATGGAAAAAGAGGAAGCTGAGAGGAAAAAAGTTTAAAAAAAAAAATCCAGGATCACAAGGGGAGAATTCAAGAACTAAGTGATGCAATCAAATGAAACAATATCTGTATCATAGGAATTCCAGAAGGAGAGAGAGAAAGGGGCTGAAGGAGTACTTGAACAAATCCTAGCAGAGAACTTCCCCAACCAGGAGAAGGAAATAGACATTGAAATCTGAGAGGCACAGACAACTCTCCTCAGACATAACTAGACGTGATCTTCAGCACAACATATCATAGTGAAACTGGCAAAATACAGGGGTAAAGAGAATTCTGAATGCAGCTAGAGATAAACAGACCTTAACATACAAAGGTAGACACGTAAGGGCAGTAGCAGACCTATCTACCGACACTTGGAAGGGCAGAAAGGAATAGCCGGAAATCTTCAAGGAGATGAACAGGAAAAGTACGCAGCCAAGAATCCTTTATCCAGCAAGCCTATCATCCAGAATAGAAGGAGAGATAAAGGTTTTCCCCAAAAAACAAAAAACTGAAGGAATTTATTGCCACTACACCAGCCCTAGAAGAGATCCTAAGGGGAACTCTGAGGGAAATGTTGCAAGCCAACACAAAGTACCAGAGACATCACCACAAGCATGAAACCTACAGTTAACACAATGACTCTAAACCCGTATTTTTCAGTAATAACACTGAATGTAAATGGACTAAATGATCCAATCAAAAAACATAGGGTATCAGAATGGATTTAAAAAAAAAAAAAAAAAAGATGTATCTGCTCTCTATGAGAGGCCAATTTTAGATCTGATGACACCTTCAGATTGAAAGTGAGGGGATGAAGATCTATGTATCATTCTACTGGAAGTCAAAAGAATTATGGAGTAGCCATACTTCTATCAGAGAAACTGGACTTTAAATTAAAGGCTGTAACAAGAGATGAAGAAGGGCTTTATATAATAATTACAAGGTCTAGCCATCAGGAAGAGTGAACAATTATAAATGTCTATGCACCAAATTCAAGAGCACCCAAATACATAAAACGATCACAAACATAAGTAATCTTATTGATAAGAATGTAGTAATTGCAGGGGACTTTAATACTCCACTTACAGCAATGGATAGATCATGGAGACAGAGAATCAGTAAAGAAAACAATGGCCGCAAACGATACACTGGACCAGATGGACTTGACAGATGTATTTAAAACTCTACAACCCAAAACAGCAGAATATACTTCCTTCTTGAGTGCACATGGTACATTCTCCAAGATAGATCACATACTGGGTCACAAAACAGCCTTCAGTAAATATAAAAGAATTGAGATCAGACCATGCATGCTTTCAGATCACAATGCCACAAAACTTGAAATCAACCACAGAAAAGGTATGGAAAAATCTCCAAAAGCATGGAGGTTAAAGAGCATCCTACTAAAGAACAAATGGGTTAACCAGGCAATTAGAGAGGAAATTAAGAACTATATGGCAACAAATGAGAATACAACAATCCAAACCCTTTGGGATGCAGCAAAAGCAGTCCTAAGAGGAAAATACATTCTAATCCAGGGCTATCCCAAGAAAGTAGAAAAATCCCAAATACAAAATCTAACAGCATACCTAAAGGAACTAGAAGCAGACCATCAAAGACACCCCAAATGCAGAAGAGAGAAAATAAGGATTAGAGAATATAGAACTAAAACAAAAACAGAAACAAAAACAGTAGAACAGATCAATGAAATCAAGAGTTGGGTTTTTTTATTTTTAAATAAACAAAATTGATAAACCTCTCGCCAAGCTTCGAAAAAAGGATGCAAATAAATAAAATCACAAATGAAAATGGATTTGTTATAACCAATCCCTTAGAAATATAAGCAATTATCAGGGAATACTATGCAAAGTTATACACCAACAAACTGGATGGCCTAGAAGAAATGGACAAATTTCTAAACATACACACACTACCAAACCCAAATGGGAAGAGATAGAAAATCTGAACAGACCCATAACTAGTGAAGAAACTATCAGTTATCAAAAATCTCCCAACAAATAAGAGTCCTGGACCAGTTGGCTTCCCTGGGGAATTCTACTAACATTTAAAGCAGAGTTAATACCTATTCTTCTCAAACTGTTTCCAAAAAATTGAAATGGAAGAAAAACTTCCAGACTCATTCTATGAAGCCTGCATTACTTTGACTCCCAAACCAGACAGAGAGCCAGCCAAAAAAAAAAGAAAAAAACAACGCTATAGGACAATATTCCTGATAAATACGGTTTCAAAAGTTCTCAACAAGAAACTAGCAAACCAAATTCAACAGCATATAAAAGGAATTATTCACCATGATCGACTGGAATTCATTCCTCGGCTACAGGGCTGGTTCAATATTCAAAAATAAATGCAATACATCACATTAACAAAAGAAAAGAACCACATGATCCTATCAAAAGATCCAGAAAAAGCGTCCGACAAAATACAGCATCCTTTCTTCATAAAAACTCTCAAGAAAGTTGGGATAGAAGGAACATTACCTCAACATCATAAAAGCCATCTATGAAAAGCCCATAGGAAAAACTGAGCACTTTCTCCCTGAGATCAGTAACATGACAGGGATGTTCACTTTCACCACTGTTGTTTAGTATAGTGTTGGAAGTCCTAGCAACAGCAAACAAATTGAAAAGCCATCCAAATTGGAAAAGATGAAGTCAAACTTTCACTTTTCACAGATGACATGATACTGTATGTGGAAAACCCAACAGATACCACCAGAAGTCTGCTAGAACTGATCCATGAATTCAGCAAAGTCACAGGATACAAAATCAACATACAGAAATCGGTTGCATTTTTATACACCAGTAATGAAGCAATAGAAAGAGAAATCAAGAAACTGATCCCATTCACAACTGCACCAAGAACCATTAAATACTTAGGAATAAACCTAACCAAAATTATAAGAGATCTGTATGCTCAAAACTATAGAAAACTTACGAAGGAAATTGAAGACACAATGAAATGGAAAAACATTCCATGCTCATGGATTGAAAGAATAATGTTAAAATGTCAGTATTACCCAAAGCAATCTACACATTCAATGCAATCCCAATCAAAATTGCACCAGCATTCTTCTCAAAACTAGAACTATCCTAAAATTTGTATGGAACCACAAAAGACCCCAAATAGCCAAATAATATTGAAGAAAAAAACTAAAATGGGAGGCATCACCATCCCAGACTTCAGCCTCTTCTACAAAGCTGTCATCAAGACAGTAGTGGATTGGCACAAAAACAGACACATAGACCAATGGAATAGAGAATCCAGAATTGGACCCACAAATGTATGGCCAACTAATCTTTGACAAAGCAGGAAAGGGTATCCAATGGAAAAAAGACAGCCTCTTTGACAGATGGTGCTGGGAGAACTGGACAGCAACATGCAGAAGAATGAAACTAAACCACTTTCTTACACCATACATAAAAACAAACTCAAAATGGATGAAGGACCTGAATGTGAGACAGGAAGCCATCAAAATCCTAGAGGAGAAAGCAGGAAACAACCTCCTTGATCTCAACCGCAGCAGTTTCTTATTCGACGCATCCCCAAAGGCAAGGGAATCAAAAGTAAAATTGAACTACTAGATGCACATATTCCCTGCATGAGGCATGTTCTAACCATGTTCTACATTTTCCTTTTTTGCTACTATCGTATGTTTGCATGTTCTGCTTCTACAGCTAAAGATTAGACTATCTACACAATAAAAGAATGTATCCACCAACCTCCCCACCCCCCACCCCCACCCCAAGGACTCTGAAACGCTTAGGAGAAAAAGGGAGTTCTCTAAATTTAACATCTACTGGCAACTCACTGAAGCAGTTAATGACCATGTGTGAAAACTGGTGCTCACAGGAAATCCACAGAGAATTCCTGATGAATCACAAACTAAAATCAGAACAAATAAGCAAGGTGGTATTTGTAGTATTACTCTTCCAGGAAGAAAAGAGAATTCAATTTATCCTATTGAAATTAATACCAGCCTTAAATATAAAGCTTAGGGAACAAAATGGCATAAGATAGCAATTTACTATTAAAATCCTGATTATAAAGGATAATTCAGACATGTGGACTGAAAGATAGCTATACTGAGCTATATCAATCACTGCCAGAAGACTTTCTAAATAGTTTACTTCTCCTGAAAAGATGTGAATAATTTCCAATTCTGTTTATCTCTCCAGACCAGGTTGTGGAATTAGAATTTTTATTTGCAAAGTAAAATTGACAATGTTTTCAGGAAGGTTGCAAACTCAGTCTTCCTATCAAACCAGTGAGTTCCTTAAAACAGGAAAGCCATTTTTAAAAGTCTTTTTAAGAAGCATCAGAATATCAAACACAAAGCTCTTTAACCTTACCTCATAGTAACTCCGAACTGCATTGCAAAATGCTTCGTCAGCCACAATTTGAGTTTCTCCATTGAGGAAGGCCTGGAACCTTTCTTTCAGTAACTGCAATTGTTGCTTGTTAAGCTAGAAGAAAAAGAGAATTCAGTGAAAAAAAAAAAAAAAAAAAAAATCAGCCAGTCTGAGAAATCTAACAATTCTTAAAAATTTTAATAGCTAAAAGTTAGATCTGACACCTAGAATTAGCTTTATGTTAAAGAAAAAAAAAAAGCTAACAACTACTGCTTATACTATGGCTCAATTTTAAAACTTTTCCAGCTCACTTCCCATACTCTGGAATCCTAACATTGCAATGCAATACAAGTTTCTATGCCAGATGGAGCTCCTGTGTTTACTACCCTGGTCTCTTTGTAGAAACAGGTAAAATCTAAAATACGGATGAGAAACAAAGTGTTGTGCAAAATTGCCAGCTGTCCTGAGCGCACAGGGCAGACAGAACGAGGGTCCTTGGAGGTGAGTGAACAACAGCTGCCTTAGATGAAGGGTAACAGGAAGGAAAGCTGCAAAGGACAGAGAAACCCTGACAAAGAATCCTCTGGAAAGAACATCTTATGGATGCCAGAAGTTTGGATTCCATGAACATATCTCAATGCTTGAGAGGAGATAAAGAATTGACTGGAAGACAAATCCAGAAAACAGAGAGGGAACCAGCAGACAGAGAGTGCCTTACTAAGCATCCCAACTAAGAGCTATACATCAGGGAGGGGAGTTCAAGTTCACAACCAGACTTCCTCACCCCGGGTCAGGCTGCCCTAATTATTACGAAAGATGTGTGGGACATGAACCATGACTTACCAACTATGCCCTGTAGTCATCAGTGACCAGCAGTGTCAGCTATTTAATTTGTAGCGCTCAAGGCAATAGGAGACTCAGGAGCCCCTTATTAAAAACTGAAGGATTTCAAGACCGTAGTAACAGCACTTTCCACCAAGCACGGGCCCTTCGAAGCATGGAGACCTGGGCAACTGCCCCTAAAGCCAGCCCGGACTACAGGGCACAGACTTCACCAGACGTGACACACAATAGGTCCTGCGACAGCTGAAAATGCTTACTTGCTGAGAGAACATAGTCTTGCAGAAGAAAAAAAAGAAAAAAAAAAAAAAAAACCACACAATCCGAACATAAAGAAATGATCTTTCCATTTCATTCATTCCTCATCAGACTATTAAAGAACTCAGTCCAGTTCTGGATTCTACAGAGAGATGTGAAGCATTTGGAAATATGCTAAGAATAAAATGATTAAAGGATTAGGAAGGAAGGCTAAACAAACTGGTATGATTTGGCTTCCAACAGAAGGCTGATGTGACCTAAGTTTAAATCTGCTCAAAAGACTTATTAAAATGCCATTCCAATGGGAGAGATAAGCACTTTCAAAAGAAAGTGAGTCTTATTCAGGAATCTAACAAATAAGACAGTCTGTAGAGAAGATGCTGCTGGTAGGAAGTCTTACACAGCCCTATTGTACCCCCAGCGTAAGACACCTCTTGCCCTGAGCAGCAAAGAAGCAATGCCACTCTTTTATTTTTTTTTTTTTTTACCATTACCTACTTCATTTTAGGGAAAGCTAAACCAAGCTCAAATGCAGAACGATCACCATTTTATTACACTTCTCATTTTATAACGTAAGGAGAATAAAAGTAGGGAGCTTTTCTGTGTAAGTACTGGAAAGGGAAGTGGGGTCTGAGACTTCAGCTCTTGAAGCACGGCTCACACAAAAGGACCAGACGGAAACAGGACAGCAGTTGTCGAGAGCGCGTTAGCTGCCAAGCCCAGGAACAGCCAACCAGGGCTTTAACTCGCAACCCAAGTGTCTAGGTAACATAATGAACATGGAAAAGTGTGCAAGTGACAAGAGACTGGTAGGGAGCTTACTGAGCCTTTGCCCCATTCTCCCTCATTTGATTAAAAACAAACCAAAAAAAGGTAAATAGCTCTCAAAAACTGGGAACTTCATTCAATTTTCTTTCATCAGACGCACTTTCTTCTTTACAGTGTTTATTTTGCCATTCAACCAATGAGTTACTTCTTTGGGGGGGGGGATTATGGCATGGAATATTCATGAATACCCATCAAGTACCCAAGAGCTGAGAAAACTGTCTTCTTAGAAACTCCAACACTTGGTATAGTTCACAAACGGGCCAGAGGCACCTGGGCTAGATGTCCAACTTCAACGTTTTTATGAATAACAATTTCTGCAGGTACATGTAAGACCTACAATGACTGCCACTATTACAGTGATATATGAAAAGTCAATAAAGTACCTTTTTAGTATAGAAGTCTATATTTCCACAAAAGATATGAAGGAGAAAAAGGAAATTAAAATCTAGCAGTAGGGATAGCTGTTTAGGAAGCAGAGTTCCCTAAAATCTATTTGCATTATCAAAATAAATCCTATTACACATCAACAGAGACTACAGAATAAACCCAAGAATTAGATACAAACACACTCCCAACGTGTACGATAAAATACCTTTCTAGCACCTCAAGTCAGAAGTAAAAGATGGTCTATTTAATTAATGAGGTTGAAGTGGATAGCCAAGCAGAAAAAAATTAAATTGTATCACATACACTGTTACAGTCCAAATGAGTTAAAACTTTTAACATAAGAAACGTAGAGGTACAAGAAAAAAAATTCCTTTAAACGCAAGCATATCAAAGACCTTTCTAACTATGAATGCAAATCCACAAGTCATAAATTTAATTGCAAAAAACATTAAACATAAATTCTCCATAGCAAAAATCTCATAGGCAAAAAATCATTAGAAAAAAAGACCAGTGGGGCGGGGGAGGAGGAGGAATATATGTAACTATCTTACAGAGCTAATTTCCAGACACAGATCTCAGACACTAAGAATTTGTGAACAGAAAAATAGATATATTCATAGAAATGACTCTTAAGCTATGAAAGCATGCCTAACTTCATTCATAATAAGTAACATGCAAATTAGATCTACATGACAGAGAAAGGATTCTGGGAAGATGGTGGAGTAGGAAGCACCAGAAATCTCTCCCACCTAGACTACAATCGCATTGGCAGTTTCTGTCTGATGTATTTTGGAATTCTGGAGTCTACTGAGGGCTTGCAACTTACAGGGGACGGCTTGAATGTAAACTGCGGTTAATTTGGGCCAATTTTAGCTTCTAGCACAGTAGGAGCTAGTCATCCCCCATCCCTCCACTCAGTGGCAGCAAAAAAACAGAAAAAAAGCTAACAGCCTAAATTTTCATAAGTAGAGGGCTAATAAATGCTACATCCAAACAGTGTAATACTATTTGCTCTATAAAAAGAAGAAAGTTCTCTTATGTATGGATATGAAAAGATCTGCAAAATATCTTGGGGGAAGGAAGTTAGTTATAGAACAGGATATAAAAATAAGCCACCACTCCCATTGAAAACAGGCAAAATTAGAACACGTATGTGAGTAGGTTTCCACATGCAGATGGAAACTAAGGAAGGATGGCTATGGGTACTGGACAGATGGAAAATAAGTAAAAAAGACTTTAACCTATACTGCTGTATTTATTTTAGATTTTAAAATCTCAGGACTCTGCTAAAATTTTATTTTAGACTTAAAATAAGCTAGGAGAGCAACTCTGCACATGTTTTAGCACAGAACAATTGTGTTCCGTCGCATATAGTCTAGATCTCATCATCTTGCAGGGAGACTGGAAAACAGATGAACTGACTTATCAGTTCTACTTTCAAGTGAAAGATTTGAACTTGACAGTCCCACTTTGGGGGGGGGGGGGTAGTAACATCTCAAGGTTTAGAATTTCAAGGAAATTTGGGCCAGAAAAAAAAAAAGAACAAAACTGTAGCAATCAAATTTAATATTCTGATCAATGCATTAAAAACTTTACAAAATCCCTATGAAGTCATCTCTCAGCCTTCCTCTGAGCCTATTAAAGCTAACACACACCCTCACTGCCTCATAATGAAGCCTACACTAATTTTCAAGAATTGAAACTTGCTTCCCTCCCCCTAAGGCTTTCACACAATCCTAGTTCTAGCACGGAGACAAAACAGACTAAACGTTACTTTCTTTCAACATAGCCATTCAGGAACTGGAAGACAGGAGCTGGCTTCTTTGAGTCTTCGCCTTTCCAGGATAAAGTCTGCCAGTTCCCCAACATCTTAAAGGTTTATTTGTAAATTAAACATTTAATCTTTAAATAGAGGTTCATTACTGGTAATTGTGAAAAAACCACATTGAAAGATGTTAACGTACAAATGGAACTCATTACAACAGTCATGTTGTCTGTCCTAAAAAGTACTGGGTCAACTGGGCATGATTCTCCTAAGGCAACGTGGGCAACACCGAAGGGGGAGGGCCGCATCCCACATGCTAAGCACTCTTAATTCAAACAAAAAATGAACTCTTCTTGGCAGTCGAATCAACTGACTCACATCATTCTTATAAATAAAATTTCTAAAACATTCTTACATGTGTTTCAGTAAGTTAGGTTTCATCTTGCTAGATTTGGTCTACTATTGCAGTTGGTTGGTATTTTGTTAGATTTCTAATTCCTTCACCCAATGACCAAAGAACTCTCCTAGTTTTAAGTCCACTAACATACAGTGGTATCTGTAGTCTTCAACTGGGTCATTTTAAGAAAACTTCAGCTGAGGACTAAGAAACAGGAGACCTATTATTACAGGAATTCACCCAAATTTGACATAATCTATTGATTAACATTCTTTGGGGCAACTGATTTTATTAGAATTCATCCTGTATTTTAGTTTTGTCCATATACTGCCTTCACACGAGTAAATTTACCCATGAATGCATAATGTTTTTCAAATAGAGAAAAATTTGATGCAAAAATTATCCAATGGGAATTTTTAGAGAGCTTTTTATATAAAATTGCACAAACTAGAACATAAATATCCTTGCAAATATCTAAATACAGCCAAGAGATTAGGCTTATAAACAGAACACTCTGAATACTGACAGCAAAGCTACATTTTATGACTTCTGGCTGCCAGTGATAATTTATCCATAATAACTGCCACAGAAAAGACACTTAATTTTCAAAGTTCAAATATGTTTTATGTTTCTTAGGTG